AGGACGATCAAGTTTATGATCATGGACAGCACAGATACCAGTGGACGGGGGCGGCCAGCTGTCCCATGATCATGGGACTATCATAAGGATCATATGATCCAGAAGGTGTCCAGTTTCATCAATTTACATCATGGAATTGCACTTGCTCCTGCCAAATCAGGGACGTATCTTCGATCATGGCCGCCGTGACGACTGCATGCCTATTATCCTTCAAGGGTCACAGCAATTCACTGGCATCTCATAACTTGACGCCCATCGTTCTTCACCAGAGTGGGGTGCACTCTGGAGGGGATCCTATCTCGAGCTTGCGATATTTTGATGCTATTGGCATCAATTATTATCCTTCATGTAAGGAGGCATTTCTTAGTAAATTTTATTGAGAGATGAGCATCCCTGTTAGCTGCCGTATTGTAGTATTTAATACACCTTTTTGCTATCAGAAACCAACTGCTTTCCGTAGAATAGTACAGCCCCTATCTAGTGCCATTCTGGGACGCCACTAAGCTATAGGTGCACTGTTATGACCTTCTCCATATCATCACATTTTTCCCCATAGCATGCAGCCCATCCCAGTGGTGCTGATCCGTTTTACTTTTGGTTCCTAAGTCGCTGCCCTTACTCCATTTCTTTTTCTTCTCCTTTTTGGTCTCTTTTTATGCTACCAGCGTTAGTCATACAGCTGTGAACGCACAGCCATTCTAGTCAAGGCAGACCAGTCCGTTACTTTTTTTGTTTGTGGTAATACAGCCTCACCTCTGTGTCAAGATAGACAATTACAGTTTGGGGCTTACCGCTTCCGACGTGTCTACTACCTTAGCCGCTGTAATTTTCTAACAGATTTTCATTTGCGATCATCAGCTATATTAGGTCCCGACACCTTGTCAGGTACAAGTACAAGATACGTCCAGTGTGGCATCATTGCGTCGAACATCATCAAACTGCCCCACCATCAATCCGTTCCTTATAGAATGTCCCTAATACATTCCTCTCACACTCAAGGACCCTTGAGCCCACACCATCATGAAATGTCAAGCTTGTAGATAACCAATGTGCAGACATATGCTGTGACGACAGCTTCAAACCTCGTTGGGGCATCATGTCCGTAGGTTCTAAAAAAGGTCCCTTTCAGCCATTTTCCTTTAAAAGAACAAAATTCGGTGACAAAAAACCCTGCAGATATGTGGCCCAAATTCCTCGGAGTAGCTTCTTTTGTGGGTCCCCGCCATGCTTTACACCGACATGAAGCAGCGACTGTACCACGCGATACAGGCGCTAATTTCGGTCCGTGCACCGACACTCATGTCTCAGTCAACTGCTTCAAATCTCGACAAGCGTGATTTTGAAAAGCTAGCTGTGGCAGTGAATACCATGAAGATGCGTGCACTGAAGCTGTACCTACAATTTACGGTACGCATTCCCCTTTTTTAACATCAGATGTTACAGAGATTCTCTTCGGCCATTAACACTACTCCGTTTTCACTGCCTTTTGATCACGTTTTTCAATTCTTTTCCTCAAATTGGACTGGCTATTGGCATTGCAACAGTCAGCTTTTCCGTGTCCGTCATCAGAGCACATTATACTTTAATATTGGCCGTCATATTTAACATTTGGCAGAAACCTATTAACAGGATAGCTAATTTCATATCACACGTGACACCCTTTCCCATTTTTTGGGAGAGCACTTCAAAACGCAAACTTTGAATCTAGACACAAAACTTGGACCACAACAACTAGACAATATTTGTACTATGTGATCGAAACATCAAGTCAATCAGAGCAAAAATTTTTCCGGGACGCCAATTTGAAAATTCGGTGTCCATGCGTGCCTGGGACACCCTGTCCCGTTGCTCGGAAGGCTATTGCAGATCGAAAACTTTGGATTTGGACAAAAAATTTGAATTAGGTCATTTAGGCGGTATCTGAAAGACGTGGTAAAAATTTCAAGTCAGTCGGAGCAAAACTCACTTCGGGACGCGAATTTGAATCTGTGGGGTGTCCGCTTGGGGGGACCAGAAAGGGAGGGGGGGACACCCAAATACGGTGACCTGATCGTGGAGTTATCCCCGTATTTACGTTTTTGCGGCTTGTTAAGAAGATTAGGCTACATGATGAAGTCGCGTACAGTGGTCTTTGCTTTGCCCCCTTGAGCATGAGCAACATAGCGCCCACCTGGCCCTTGGCAAGGGCAATGACATCGCCGAGAAAAGGTGCTTTTTCTCCCCAACTCCAGTGCTTCTGGCTGCCATTCCACAGATTCCGCTGGTCTATATGTACTATAATTAGGTACATGGGGGGGCATTTAAGGTTTGTATACGTATATTACGCATTTTTACACGCAAAACGTGAAAAATATTTTCACGCATAAATACGTAAATACGATCTGTGTTTGTGTCGTAAATAACAAGCCTAGCCTATAAGCCACTCTTGCATTATAGGTTTTCCCAAGTTCAGAGATCCAATGGAAACCGCTGCTGAGATTGAAGTATTTCTCATTCAGATTCGCGCCAAACATTGGGTTAATGGAATGGCAGGTTGAGCGTACAGACAGAGAATAGCAGTTACTCTAAGAACATTGAGTTTCAAAAAGGGGTCCTCATCGAATGGACCCCGATGTGTAGATGAAGACCTGAAAGAGGTTTGAATCTTGCATCGCTCATTAAATTGCCTCTCAGGTGGCATTATGCTTTGACAGGCGAGTGATGATTAGCTGCACTCACTGTTTTCTGGTGGCAGGCAATGTGGCATTGAGCGCGACGCATGATGGTGGGCGGTGCGGTACCAAGAAGATGTTGGGGTAATAAGTAGCATTGAATTACATTACACCAATGTTGCATGACCATGCAAATATGCAATAGCCGTTTCCTCAACAAGGGGTAGCCGCGATGCCTGAAAGGGGCATCCCTGATGCTTTGATTTGTCTTCTTCCATACGTCTTTTTTCCACCCAGACGCCTCGGTTGATATAAGCATCAACACCCATGCCGAATATCACAACCTCACGAGTAGTCCCTCCTGCACCAACTCTGCAAAAACCAATTTGCCAATATTCATATCTGCTCATGTGAGCAAACAAACGACAAGAAAATATGCATGGTAAAGTGGGTGTATCGCGCAAGGAGTGTGCTGTCTCAGCTTTTTGCTGGCGCATTGAGTAACGTGTCATGCAAGGATATGCTGCATTAAACGGGGCCTTGCAATATGGGCATTGAGGCAGTGACTGCGTAATACGTAAATTACGTATTTTTGCGCGCTTTTGCGCCCAAAAACGTAAAAACTCTTTTTACGCATAAAACATAAAAACTGTTCTCAAGTATAGAACGTGGATGCGATCACTTTTTACGGGGCAACTAACAAGCCTGGTTCTGGGAGTTCTTGGATGAACAGGTGGTCGTTTGCGCAGTGAAAGGGCCGGTAGTAAGGTTGACGGGTTGTTAATGGAGCGTCCGTATCCAGCATGTGGCCGTATCCTGGATATGCATGTCTGGGACAAGGCGATCATATGCTATTCCATATCCAGTATGTGGACTTTTGACCGACGACTGTCCGTTGGGAAGGGACAAGCCTGACTCCAGGGTTCGAGGCGCTGCAGGCCTCAAGGGACGCGCATCCACGCGCGAGCGTTCAAAGCCGAGGCTGGCGAACCTGAGCAGTTTTGCGGACTTCAGACTCTGCGTCAAAGGGGCTGATTCAAGTATGATGGGCGCTCCAAAGAGGAGGGGAATGTGAGAGCAGCCCCAGAGTCGAGGAGAAAGTCGAAGGTCGCCCGGAGGCTCTGTTGAATGCGTGACCACACATTCGACACGTTGTTGAGCATGCTTCAAAGCTCGTTCGCGATTGCTGAACCACGGGTCTTTCATGACTGCAGACGCGCTGACTGTCACGGGGGGCGGGACGGTCCGCCGGGTGGAGAGCGGACAACTCTGGCAAGTGTAGGTGCGGCAGCTCGTGCACGAGCTACTCACGACTTCCTTGCGCCACACTTGTGACCTCCTTTCGTCGCTAATTGCGGCAGTGTGCCACAATCTCTGTGAGACTTGTTGTCGTTTTCACAGTCGTGATCGCGAGCAGGGCGTACCCCAGAATTGGGCTGCACCAATCAGTGGAGTTGGGTGCGACTCAGTCCAATGCTGCCCCAGCCCATCCGTCCCAGCCGTGCGCGGCAACATCGGAATATACGATACTTGCTGCACGGGTGCATCGATTATCTTGGTGAGGTGCGTACGACACATCACACGTCGGTGGACTATAGTAGTGCAGAACGCGGCCCCTGGCGAACCCCCTGGCGAAGGGGCTGCTGGCAGAAAGCACGCCTGGGCCGTAGGAGCCCGGAGTGGCGACGAAGCCCAGAATGCCCCTGATTGTGTTAAATACGCTACCCGTGGTGCCACAAACCACAGCGGCTGTGTGGCGAGCCTATCCACATGGTATACAAAAGCAAGGGCCCCACATTAGCTTTCAACAGCACAATGCGCCACTCCTTTGGATGCAAACAATCCAAAGCCCCCCAGCGCTGCGGGGCAGCATATAACCCACACATCGTCCGCCGCAACAGAGGGGCAGGGGGCGCAAACTCTCGAATGCGACCCAAATTAGGAAGGCGGAACACGCAACGGGGAACCTGTAAGGCGTCCGCGGCACAAAAAGAAATTTACAAACTTGCACAGATTTACGGAAAATAGACGATTCAGTAAGTTCCATGCTGGTTCATTTTCATTATGGCATTGCCACTATGGCGATCGACCGACCCCGCCAGACTTTCGAGGCACACATACACACGCACACACACAGAGTGTAGGTACAGATGGCCGTGCACATGCCTGGAGGCCCACCGAGCCGGTGAAAATCTGCACTGGCACTCCCGCACCAGCACCGAGACCGCACTTAATACTCCCCTGCCTGTGTCCAAACCCACAACAAAGTGATCACTGACACCCTTTGACATCTCTGGCTGCTGTGCCAGGCAGGTGGCCGCACACAAGTTGCGAAACACAACCCCCTGGCTAGCCAAAGACGTCATCGTGGCCTGCGTCTCCCTTGGTCGGGGCGCTGTCATCCAGGTACTGATCCACTAGCGAGGCCATGTGTTTGATGTAAGCCGCATCGCTGCACACCCAGGCTGCCCGCACCCCAGCTGCCTCGTCCCCATACTCCTCCTGAACCGCCAGCTGTGTCGCCCGCTTGTTCATCTTCTCGAGGTCCGACTTCTGCGAGGTGGCACGCGTCATGATGGTGCCGATCTGGTACAGGCTCAGCCCCCTGGCCACGCACTTCTTCAGCAGGAGGGTGCAAACCTTGTACACGCGCTCGCACTCCCGCCTCAGGGCTAGGCCCTGCTCTGCAAGCATGGTGAGGTCACGGTCGGCGTCGAGCTCATCGATGTACGCCCGGGCCTCCGGTCCCAGAGGCATTTTGGCCTGGGGCCAGTACAGCCATTCGAAGTTGAGGTCCTCAAAGGTGGAGGGCATGCAGTAGCCATGGTCGATGGGCGTGAGCCACCACCCGCCATCCTGGGGGCTCCGCCAAGCCAGGATGTTGCCACCGTTGCGGTCCGTGTTTGCCAGGCGCACGTCCAGGATGGCTATCTTGTGCACCTGGTGCGGTGGGAATGCGGCAGGGCCCATGTCCTCGCAGTCGGATTCGTGGGGAATGAACTGCTGGAAGCTGCACACCTTCTTCTCGCCGCCCACCTTGAGTGTGACCATCGCCGTTGGGGGCACCCCAGAGAAGTTGCCATGGTCCAGGACGTAGGCCATCACCTCCCTCACGGCCCCCTCGCCGGGCCGCACGCCCTTCCTCAGGCCGCCCCCATCCGGGGACCCCGCAAAGCCCTTGGGGTTGTTGGGGCCATTGGGCTCCTCATCTTTGGGCTTCAGCACGGCCACCTTGGTGCCGTCGTTAGCGAAGATGAAGTACGACCCCCCCGTTCCTGCCGGGGCCAGCTTCGGCGCCACGCCCTTGGCCAGCGCGTCCTTCGCAGCCTGCCAGTGCTGGAACAACTTGTGGTCCGGGTGGGACAGGCGCGGGGATCCGTCCGGGAACGCCCGCACCCGCGTCATCTCAAATGGGACCAGTTCCACCACACTGCCTTTGCCAATCCCCACGCTGGCCAGCGGCACACTGGGCGGCAGCACCTCCCCCCCGCTCAGGAACCTGTAGCGATCCGCCCTAATGGACGACACGGCCTCGATCTTGGTCTGCATAGCCGCCACGGTGTCTGTGGCGCTGATGGACAGCTCGAACCAGTCGTCCTTGACATGCTGCCAAGCCAGCTTGGCGCTCTTGCGGATCAGCAGGTGGATCACGGTGCTGTCCATCACCTCCTCCACATCGTCATCATACCCTACGACCCGGCCGCGCAGCCGTAGGCTGTCCCCGGGCTCGCGCCCATCCTGCAGGGCGCGGGACAACGATCCGTGCCTGGCCCTGCCAACCTCCTCCGCCCCGTTGTCCAGCACCATCGTCCCCTTGGCCGTGGCCACCTCCAGCGTCGCGACATCCGACACCTTTGCAAAGACATGCAGGTAGTCCGAGTCGGCCGATTGGGCAGCCACGTCGCCCACTGTCTCGTGCTCCAGCAGCTTGCGGCTGCCGAAGACAAGGTAGTGCCGCCCGGAGAACAGCCCCCGGTTCTTCAGCCGCAGGCGCAGCGTGTGGATCGTCTCGCGCGGGAGGGCGTGGCATGACTCGGTCACGTAGCGCCGCCCGCCGCCGGGGACGGGCCTCTCCACGGACAGCAGCAGGTTGAGCTCCTTGTGCTCGGGGAGGATCGGCGGCAGGGATGCGGGCGGCGCCACGGCGAGCGAGCGCTTGGCCAGGGCCAGGGGTGCCGAAGCCCGGGTGGGGGCCGGGCCGGGGCTGACAGCGATCGGCGCGGAGCCAGCCGGCCCACCGATCTTCAGGGTGCCAAACACCGACGCCAGGCGGTCCCCTTCGCCGGCCCCTTCGCCGCTGAGCTCCCGTGCGCTGCTTGCCGGCATGCCGCCCCGGCCGCCGCGATTCGGCGCCGAGATTCGGCGGCCCTCGCGGCTCCGGAGCGGGCTCGCACCCCAGACGCCCAGCGTGGAGTCACCTCAGATTTCTCCCCTCTTACGCGCCCGCCCCGAAGAAACCACCTGGAAGCCACACCCCGACTCCTGGCCTCCGGACGATCGACTCCCGCGGCTTCAAATCCCCCCCCCCCCGATGCTGCGCCCGGCCCTCTCGGCCACCACTCCGCCGCGCCCGCGCCCCCGACGGCGATCCAAGGCGGCCTTCAAGGCGGATCCCTGCAGCCTCCCCCCCGGACGCACCGCCCCGGCCAGTCAAACGCAGGCGCGCGTCCCGCCCACCTCGCCCCGCCCAACCCCCTGAATCCACCCCAGCAAATCGATTTCCCGCCTCAAACGAATCCCGAAATCCAGCGCGATGCCCAGACACTCCCGGCCGCTCTCGAGTCGATCGGTTCGAGCCAGCCAAAGCCACCCGCGGCACCTCAGCCAAGCGTCAGCGGCGCCCTCCGGCCGGGCCTCCCCCCGGCTCAGATGCTCGGATGCGGCCTCCCAGCCATGCCCGCCCCTGCCCTCCGCCCTACGATTGCGGCGAGCGCTCCGGGATGCCGCGAGGGCAGCCCGGCCAGCCACAGGCGGGCGGGGGGGGAGGGGGAGGGGAGTGGCGGGGGGGCGGGCCGCCCCTGCGCACCGCGCTTGCCCGCCGGCCTGCCGATTTGCGCGCTGTGTTGCTGTCTCGTGCAGTGGCTCGCGCGCAGACCTGTGGTGGGGGTGGCCGGCTTGCTGCGGCGTCGGGGAGTTTTGAGCTGAAGGGGTGGCGGGGGGGGGGCGGGACCTTTCTGCGCCCTTCCCGAACGCCACTGGGACGCGTGTCACCTTCCGGCCGGCTCTGCCGGATTGTTGGGGCGAAGGTATCTCCTGGGGGGTGGAGAAAAAAGGCATTTGTCGGCCTTTGGGCGGCTCAAGTGCGCAATGAGCCTTTGGGCTGCGGCGACCCCGTGGGTACGGGAGGCATTCGCGATGGTCACGCGCGGGGAAGACACTTCTGTCACTCACGATCCGAACCCATCATTACAAACGAAGCGAGTGGTATTTATAGTGCGATTGTGCGACAGTTCATGAGTTGCTGCCTCCAGAATACCCACTCTGGCCACTTTCACGAGCTGGCCGGGTTCGTGTCCCTTTCTCATGCCAAGTTTCTATTCCCGCCGCCCAGACCAACTATGATCCATTGCCGAATAGCCCAGCAACTACCCGCGTACAGTACCCACTCCCGCTCTCCCTCGCTCCCGCACTTCCTCAGCTCCTATTCCCGCCGCCATCCCCAACTATGATCCAATCCCAAAGCCGTCCCCGTTCGTTCACTATAGCCAATTCCCCTTAACTGGCTCCCCTATCATACGTACCGCACCACTCCCACACATTCTTGAAGGAAAGGCCGTTGATGTAATCAAACGGCCCCCTTTGGAGTGCACACTAGAAGCGCGAATCCACGATCGCCGATGCTTGAACGGGTTGGCGCACGGCCAGACGCAAGGCCACGCCACACACAAAACGCCCAGGGCTTACATATTTGTTCACCCTTCCCACAATGAAGAGCCTTGCCGACGGCGGCAACGACCCCCGAAACTGAACCGTTCGAATTTTTTTGCACCCACAGAACTTTCCTTTTCATGTGACAAGGATCATCATCCATCACCAACCAGCCATACGGCGCTTCAGAGATGCCCACTCGTCGCCACAATACAACCCACTCTATAACACATATACTAAAGATGCCCATACACTCAATAGCAATGTAGAAATATTTCAGCTGCAAGCGCGACCCTAACCATAGCATTTATCTCTGAATCAGATGGCATCTCCCACAACAATCAAATTGATGCTCACAAAAGTCCCATCACATGAGAAATAATTCTGTGAATTCTAAAACACATTTTCATTTCTTTGTAAAAATTCAGAATGCCTTGCATACAAACAATATTCTTGAAGTGCATACAAGTCGCACACCATAATGCATAAATGATCCACCCAGTGAAACGGTGGTCATTATGCGGTGTTGCGAACAGCATACAATTACTGGCTCCACCAAATCGGTGACTGCTCGCACCAACTCCCTCCAAAATTTACCTAAACTAAAACGTAAGCCCTAAAAACTAAACCTGCCCTAACCCTAATTCCAACCTAAAATTTACCCTAAAACTAAACCTAACCCTAAAACTGAGGTTAGGACATAGTGTGCACGTGATTTAATGCAGGCCGTAATACTATTTCGAGCAAAAAGGGGGGTGGGTTGGGGCATGGGAGCATTCTTACTGGCTAATTTGAATTTGTTTGCTGGCAATCTAAAAGAAAAATTTGGGATTCCTTTTAAAAGCAAAAAAACGAGGGTGTTCCCGATGCGTCCCGTTAAATGTGGCTCGAACCACCGCGTGCAAGATCGCCCCCCGAAGCCCAATGCGCGGCGCAGCGCTAGGCAGCGATCGTGGCCAGCCGTGGTCTCCAAGGACATAGTACGGCGTGCAAGACAAAAACTGGGCGCTTTGGTGAGCGGCAGTGAGCGCACAGAGGCCCCAGAGTCAAGCAACAATGGCTGGCGACATGGATTTCATGTCTTGGCTGTTGCCTTCGCGAGGCTGCCATACGCCAGTTTTGGCATGAATGGGCGAGTGCGTGGCTTTCCCGAAAGCACAGCCATTTCGCTGTCCACCAATTGAGCTTTCTTGAAGGAAATGCCGTTGATGCGATTCAAACGGCTCCCTTTGGAGTGCACACGGGAAGCGCGAATCCACGATCGCCGATGCTTCAACGGCCTTGGCACACGGCCAGACGCAAGGTCCCACCACACACAAAACGCCCAGGGCTTACATATTTGTTCACCCTTCCCACAATGAAGCGCCTTGCCGACGGTGGCAACGACCCCCGCAACCGAACAGTTCGAATTCCCTTGCACCCACAGAACTTCCCTTTTCATGTGACAAGGGCCATCACCCATCACCAACCAGCCATACGACACTTCAGATATGTCTACGCATCGCTACAGTGCAACCTACTTTATAAAACATATGTCAAAGTTGCCCATACACTCAGTGGTAATGTGCAAATACGTACAAGGCGCACACCATAATGCATAAGTGATCCACCCAGTGAAACGGTGGTCATTATGCGGTGTTGCGAACAGCTTGTAGCTCCCCAATTTGCATGCAAGCCCCATCACTTCACCGCGACATGGGGGTGGGGTGTGTGTTTCTGTTGGTTGGCGCATTCTATCGTCAGTTAGTATAGGTCACCATGCCAAGATCTTCCTTGTAAGTTGTGTGCGCGCGTGGCCTGCAGGCTGCCTGGCTTGCGCTGTGACAGTGCCGGCGCTGGCCGATCGCCTGTCTTCTATTTATTGCGCCGTGCACCCCATCTTTGTCTTGGATGCCATGCTTTGTCCTTAGGGACCATGGATGGCCGCAATTGCCGACCAGCGCTTTGGACTCCAGGACGCGATCTAAGACGGGATGGCTCGGGCGAAGCCCAAACAGTCAACGCGGCTGTGCGTTGCCGCAAAGCTCTGTGCCGCGTGGGGCGGGTTGGCGGACTACCAGGGCACAGCGACTGGTCGTGAACTACTTGGGCGCGGTGGCCCGAGGCGAGCGTAGACAGGTCACCGGACGGGCTGCATCGCGGGGTATTTTGGCGAAATGCCGTCTGGTGAATACGGCAACCGCGAGTTCCTGAGTCGTATGGCTATACAAGAGATACGGGAGGTGGAGCTCCGCAGACCCCATTGAACGGGATGCTCGTCGCGTCTTCCCATCAGTCGCTCATCACGGGCGCGCCTCAGTTCACGAGTTGAGCATCGGTGCGGGCAGCCCTTTCCCGCAAGCCTCGATCCCAGCGACGGTCTGCTCATCGTTTCCAAGGAGCTCATCATGACTTTGACAATGGTATGATACACCTGCTTTGCGGTTTACAGCCCCAAGTACACCATGCATCCCCTGCCCGGTCCCAAGCGAAAAACAAGGCAAAAGGAAGCGCCCTCCGCTGCATCAGCCCACACGCCACTCCACAACGCTTGGCACTGCGTCGTCGCGCTCATTTAATAGGAGCAAGTCTTAGTGGTGTCGTTGGAACAACTGGGATGACTGAAGGTCCGGCTGGATCCGAATCCCCAAGCTTGCTTCCCCTGTAGGCATCATCGTTTCTGACCACCCCGCTCCGCGTAGAGGCAGCCCCCTCGGGCCGCTGGACGGCCCGACTGGACCACGCCAAGGCGGCGGCGCGTCACTCACTGCGCAAATCGTTCTCTGATCCCCCGCTGCATCTGTTCACCGGAGTCTTGGGGGCCTCGACCTCCAGCGACGAGGAGGGCAGCAGCGTGGAGAATGGCCAGTCCGCATATCGTTTGCGGATCTCTGCCAAGCACAGACACACACACGACTTTGTTGCATTGTGTTTTCATGCGCCGGTGACATGATACTAAATTGTCGATTTCACTGTAATGAACAACAACGACAGAGAGAGAGACACACACACACACACACACAGTGAGTCAGAACGACCATTGTCAGGCTGCAGAACAGAGCCTCAATGTCCCTAGGTCGGGATATACCACAACTGCGTATGTGTCCACCATTCGATAAATCTGATACGACCACCAGTTGGTTGCCTGCTAGAGCATCACGTCCACGGCGCCACAGCTGTCACCGGAAAACTACTGCCAGCCCACGGGCAGCGCTGGCTACGGGCGGCGCTTGGAACGCGGTAGAAGAGGCAGAATTTGCAATTTTGGGTTTGGCAGTACTGCAGAATTGAGGAATAAAGAATGTTGCAGCAAACCACCACAGGCGCACCTCCATGGCACTGTGGCTTATGGTCCAGCTGCTGTTTGCGGCTGTGTGGGCACAAACCCATCCTCCACAAAATCAGCTTCTACGAAGCGCAAGCGAAGCATTCACGTTTCTTTCTACCAAACAAAAAACGCTCTTTCCATTGCCTGGGTTTTGCATGCTTCCATGGTGCTAACCAAGGCGTCATTCTATGTGTTCGTCTGGGGCCAACGCATTACGAGCTTACTGCCTTTCCACGGACTGGGAATCGCACAAGCACCCACCTTCTACGGGCTTTGCCTGCTGGCTGCCGCCCGTTCGACACTCTGCACCCCATTGCATGACACCCAGTGGAAAGGGAGGTCCGTGTGGTCGCTGCGGGACCTCGAGGGATGGGGGAGACCGACCGCTGCTGCCAGCATGCTTGGCTTCACACGTTTGGCAGCAACCACCTGCCCTAAGCCAAAGGAACAACACACACATCAAGGGCTGCCATTGACTGCAAAAGGGACAGCTTCCCGGAATGAATTCTTGAGCTCACCATGCTCCGGTGCACAAGTGCTGCAGAGTGGACATGTTCACTAGATATCTACGCTAGATATCTACAGTAGACATCTACACTAGATATGTTCACTGTGCAAGCAGCGCAAGAAAACACAAGGGCAATGCGTCCAACTTGTCCATTAGCAGAGCTTGCTTCAAACACAATGTCTTCGTTGTCGATCGAACTGCATGGCAATGAACAGTGTAGAAAACACGACCTATATTCAGACCACCACTGTGCAAGCGCTGAATCTAAGGGATCGAAATAGGCTCAGCCTGCTGTTTCGAATGGACAGGTACCTTGCCCCGGATGCGAGAATAGGGTGCCTGCCGCATGCCCAATTCGTTCTGCCCTCAACCACAGCCAGGCTGCAAAATTCTATCCGCACACAAACTGTTCTGCATGATTCAGCAACAACAGTGCGATTCACGACTCCGCATGAAACGACTTTGTGTTGCTCAGTGTGGAAGGCAGGGAACTGTTCAGTGGCTGTCCCGCAACTGTTACCTTCCATTCTTCGGTTCGCCCACCCTGGCTGCAGCATCAGCAGTCTCCGCATGTATGCTCTCTGCCACACCCCTCTCGCCCACAGTGCTGCACGGCTCAGGAGGCCGATTAGCCAACACTGCACCACACTCCCCTTTCTCACGCACCATGCCCGTCATACCGCACTCAGCTGCTGCCTCACCAGGCATCACAGATTCAGGACTGCGCTCGTCCAGCGACATGTCTGCGATGGGCACAGCCACGTGCCTCTCCCCACCCTCGGAAAAGGGCACATCCACCACAAGGGGTGCCGATCGCTGACTCTCCCCCCCACCACCATGTCCTAAAGGACCCGACTTGTCATCGCCTCGCGTGCCAACAGAATCGCCCGAGTCCTCCTGTTCCCCAATAGACACGCAGTCCCCCTCCTCCCTGCTGCTCTGCCTGGGCGGAGATGTGTCGTAGTCCACCAGGCCCTCCCGCACCTTGGGGCTCGAGGGCCCACCGCCACTGGCAGCTTCAGCGCCCTCTGTGGTCACCTCCCCACCGCACTCGCTGGAGCAAACCACCTCCTCCCCGGGGCCCTCCTCCATGGCCTCCCCATTGCCAGACGACTGCCCACCTCTCCCTCTTGCATCTGCTGCCTTGTCTTCGACGCTGCAGCTGGCTCCGGTGCCACACACATCCACAGGGGCGCCCTTGGGCTCCTGCCCATCTTTCGCACACTCATTGGGCTGGCTGGCTGTGGCAGGGTCCTCTCCAGCACCATCGCCATCGCCCACTCCAGCACAGATGGCATCATCGCCCACAGAAGACGCGGTGAGGCCGGCATCGCCCCTGGGCCCAGCACCAGCTTTGGGGGCAGGCAGCCTCACATCTGGCCCCCCTCCAGGACTGGCGGCAGGGGTCTCAGCACACTCTTCCACCTCCGAGGGCGTGGCAGTGCTCCACGACATGGGTGCCAAGCCCTTCCTGTCTGCGTTCCCATTTGCCAGGCTGCCATTCGCTGTTCTGGTGCCATCGCCTCCTGCGTCCTCCGGTGGAGCGCTTGAGATCTCGGACTCCCCCTTTTCCTCATCCTTCTCCGATTCGCCCACCGACTTGAGCTCCTGGCTGAGCTGTGAGATGGACATCAGCTCTGTGATGTCCCCCAGGCGGGACAGGCCCATGGGCATCCGGCTCCGCATCACAAGGCTCTTTGTCATGTTGAGGGACTCGATGCTGGGGCCGCGCTCACAGGTCCTGGGTGCCAAAAGGAACGGGTCCATCTTTGCCAGCTTTCGCCTCTCACACACATCCAGCTTCTTCACACCGTCCTTGACAGTGGGAACTGGTGGGGCAGCAGGTGCAGGGCTTGGGGAGGTCTGCTGGATCCCGGGGCGCGATTTGCCTCCAACATGCACCAGCTTGACACCAGCTTTGCACTCTTGCCCTGCGTCCCCTGTCGCCTCAGCGACCATGTCCTTTCTGCCACTGTTAGCTGCCTCTTGCACACCAAGAACAGTTTGGTTAGCAGCTTCTGCCGATATCGACTCGTTTCGATGTGAGGATCCCAGCTCTCTCCCCTTCTCAGACCTGATTGCAACCAGTTCTTCAGCCTTGAGCTTCAGCGCCTGCGTATCCACAACCCCATTGTCTCGCTCTGCAGTCCTGTCTGTACCGCAAGCCGCCACTGAGGTCGGCCCAGTCGAGGCGCTGTCGCCAGACGACTGCGTTTTGGACACAGCGCCTTCAACTACGTCCTCCTCCACACTGCGAACCAGCAGTTCCGAAGAGTCCTCGCTCGCATCCTCTGCAGCCCTTAAACCCCACTGGTGAGGTTCTTGATCCCCACTCACCGGCAACCGAGCAGATCGCACCGTTGCAGACACTTCCAGCATATCTGCCATCTTTGCTTCTGCATTCTCCTTAATGTCGGCTCCAATGGGGTGGCAAAGGCCATGTGCTTGCAAGTGAGACGCCACATGATCTGGACTGTGCTCGATGGGAGCATGGCCGTCCCGATTGTTGGCCAACTCCTGTCCGCTCTCCACATTCGACACAGCTGGGCAGCTCGACTGCCCTTCGCGCCGCACCTGCTTCTGCATGAGACGCCAAGACTTTCGAACGGGGTGAACAGAGGCTTCCCCTCTGTTCTCCCCAGCTTCGACCTCCACATCTTCAGCACGATTCTGTCGTGCTTTTGCTTGTGGATCGTCAAGCTGACTGGCAGCTGCCAGGCCGACCTCCTCCACATGGTCCTCTGCCTTCATCTCAGCTTGAGACTTGTGCCTGGCCAGCCGGGCAGCCTGTCTTTTTGCAGGCGGCGGGGCACTGTCGAGCTTCATAGGACTGCCCGGCCTCCTGCGTCTGTTAGCCCTGCGGGTTGGCTTCACCTCCTCAGCATCAGCAACTGCTCCCTCTTCAGGTTCAGACGCCCTGGTGGGGCTCTCAGCCATGGTGGGGCTCTCAACCCTGGTGGGGCTCTCAACCCTGGTGGGACTCTCAACCCCGGTGGGAGCATCCTCTGCCTCAATTTTAATCGTCGTCTTACTGCGCTTGCTGCGTCTGTTTTCGGTGTCACGATCCTCTCCCTCCCCAGTCACTGTGTTCTGGCCCCTCTTGGCCCCTACTTGGGACCCCCTGCGACCGCCCCTTCCACGGCTAAGCCACTCCTTTCCATTCGTGGGACTGACACTCTCCTTGGGCTGTGCATCTTCTGCAGGTGACCCAAGATCATGCGACCTCTGTGCTCTCCTGGCTGTTCTGGCCGAGGGCCCAGGAGGGGAAGCTATGCCCTTGGCCCTGGACTGGCCCTGAGCGCCTGCAGGCCCTTTTGCTTCCTTGGCCTTGGAGCCCTTGTGCCGGCTGGTTGCAGCTATCCCTAGCAAATTGCAAAAGCAGGTACCTTTTCAACAGCGATATTACCACTGTCATTCCAAGAAGCACTCCTCCTTGACGACAGCATGTACTTAACAAACGTCAATACTCAACCCCACTGTTTCTGTTTTTGTTGTTGCTCCTATTGACGTTTTTAAACAATACGCAACAGAGAAGGACGTGGTGCAAACAACAAATGTATGAACAATATACAAACTGCCACAAACTGAACACCAGCAGGATTCAAATCCACTACCCGACTATGCATTCGAACGCACCTTTGCCAGCAGGCTCTTTTGGGACCTCAGTCGCCACATTCACCACAGGCAGTGCATCAGCGTCATCAGCATCTGTGGACATCACAGTGACGACCCCGATCTTGCCTTCCTTCTGGCTCACTTCGTAGTCCCTGAACTCCAAAGCCAGGTCGGCGTCGCCGTCGTCGTACACCACTTTGTACCTATCCGTGGCACTGTCGTACGCATCGATGCGCCCGCCAAAAAAAGCATTCTCTCCGCCCCACCTGAGCAAGTCGAGAAATGATCCAGTCGGGACGATGGAACAGATGTGCGCAGCACTTTACTACCATGCTGCTGGGCTGCACAGCAACGACTTTGTTGCAATGAGCAGATTCTGCGCCTCAAGGGTTCTGATTGCCAAAGCACTTCGTCCATTGAAGACCTGAGGCCATTCTGCACAGCAAACTTGGTCTGCACGGCCAGGAGCAAGAGGATCCAAAAACCAAACAGATTCACACTTGTACCCATGAACAGGTACTAATTATGCACCCCACCCCACCCCCTTTTTTCCTCTTCCCCTTTCCCCTTCCTTTCAAGACAGTGACCACCTCAACGACGTGCAAAATGCAGCGGTTTCTCTTCGCAAAATGTCACCAACGTATGACATGAAAGGGACAGCCTAAACTACACAAATGCCCCAGAACAACAAGAAGGCCGTCAGCTCTTGGCAGTGTTCTTCAGCTTCAGGAAAAAATAGGTTCCACCACGCCTAGTCTGGGAACAAGGAGGGCAACGACACCAACCCGCACCTTCATTTACACAGAACACACAAAGATCAAACTTATCTTACATGTCCTCCCTAGTCGATGCACAGGCGCACTGCAGCCCACAACTCACCACACGGACGCCCTGCATCCCACAAGGGCCTCCCCGCTGGGCTTCCTGGCCTTTGTGGCCCCCTTCCGCCGCTTGACTTGCTTTTTGGCGTTGGGAGCCATCGGCAAGATCCACCACAGCTTCTTGTCTGGGTCGTGCCAGAACACGTCCTTACCCCTCACAAGGTCCCCTGACACCTAATGCACAGTGATCAGCCATTCAATCCACATATACATAACACAATGTAAGATGTCTTAACATTAATAAGCAACAACACACCAATGCCAGTGACGACAGAACAACACTGCCCTGCTTCATAGTAGGGTATGTGGGAGATATTCAAAACAGCAGATAGTCTATTTGATTAGATGCCAGGCGACGGGGAACAGGGGAAGCCGGCAGGTTCTGAATCACTCTGCAACTCGGTGGACGTCTTTGGGACTCGTTTTGCAGTAACATATCATGCTGCTTCCAGCAGCCTGCCTGTCCCCTGTGCCTGGGAAAACCTTTGCCCACACACAAAGGATGAAAACTTATGCAAGGTAAGTGACCGTGCTGCTATGCTGGCCTATCACTACTGCTACAATATTAGCTCGCAATGCTATACTTGAGTGCAAATAATTATCATAATAGGATACAACCATCGCGAAGTTATTCTTCACAAAATCAAGAACGGGCTGATCATATGTTGTGTGTGCCACGAAGCAGTGCCATTTCTAGGCCTGAAAGGCTTTCCCATTCGTTCACATTTCCGAGTGTGAGTGGAAACATTTTACAGTTTTACAATTCGCGGCTCTTTGGGGCGACCAGGATTGTGAGCCCCATCCCCAGGCGACAGAAACCGGGCGGCCACCATCGGCGCCCCCCCCACTGTGGGGACCCCGGGCAGATGCGCGTAAATCGTAACCACACCACACACGCCCCCATGGTCGCGTGACGTGAACATGGGACCAAACGTGACACCATCGCAACGGGGGACAAGTCGAATGGGAAGGAACCGCCTTCCTTCGGAACTGAGCCGACGGCTCCATCCAAGGGTCCCAGAACGAACCACAATGAACCAGGTTGTGAATAAAACACGACTCCTGGTGCGTTACGCCCCGACCTCTCACGCTCCATCCCATCCCCCGCGTTACGCCGCTCCCTGACTGCATGTGTTCTGCCTTTGTGTTGCTTGCATTGTGTGCTCATCATTTCGCATCGGAGGCTCTACATCATCGTTTTACAGCACAGAAATTAGTCTCGCATGATTTGGCTTAGCAGTGGTTGCCCTCTGTCGGGTCTGTGCCCTGTTTTTCTCTCTCTTTGTGACACATCTCACCCGCGTTACGCTCTATTTCCCGCGTTACGTACCCCTCCCTTGGCGACCCCATCCATCAACCGCCGAACCAATCTGTCACTCCTCAGTCACCCCAGCCACCCGGCGACACGTTACGTTACACCGGGAACGCGGGCGTTCACTTGGGGGAACGCGTCACGCGACCGTCTGTACTTCCGGAGGTACCCCCCGCCCACAGTGGCTCATCTCGATGCCCTCGGAGCGCAAATGGGCACGCCAGCCCTGATGTCAGCCCCAGGAGCCCAGGCACACGCACTCATCACCCTTACGAGCGGGCACGTCAAACCACCCACCCACGTGGGCGCCCGCCGCGCCCACCCCGCCCGGGGCCTCCCTCCACCCCCGCCCCGCCCGCTCGCCGCCAAACAGGGTCCAACACACGCTGAAATGCCCCTGGGCTCCACCAACGAGGTCCGCAAACCGCGAAGCGAATGTGTGCGGCTTCGGACAAGCAATCGGGTCCCGCTGTGCGCCTGTGTGCGCGCACACATATGTGTGTGGTGTGGGGTAGGAGACAAGTAAAGAGGGGAGAAGATATGGGGACGCCAAATGGGGAAGGCATCTTAGATTGGGGGAAAGCATCTTGGATTAAGGGAAGTTTGCCGCGGCGGTGGTGGCGGGAGGGGGCTGGGGGCTAGGGGGATCGGGATGGGGCTGGAAGCGGCCGATGAGGGGGCGCAGAAACTGAGTGGGAAGGGGAGGGCGGGCGGCGCGGGGGGCGGATGCCGCGCGGCGGGGTGGCGACTCTGGGAGGGATGGGGCGAGGGCGGGACGAGGGGCCCGAGGGGCTGCTCGGCGGGCATCTGGGGGCGCTGCGGGCGATAGGTTTTGGGGTGCGGCGCTCGAGGGTTGGGATGAGGGCCCGGGGGGGGCGGGACGCCTGGAGCACAAGCTGGGCGAGGAGGGGGCGGGGAGGGGGTGGAAAGGGCGGGCGCGGGCTCAGCGATCGCCAGAAACGGGTCCTGAAGCGAGGGGCCGCCGCGACAAGGGGGGACCCGCGCCGGGGGGGCTGCGGAGGGCGGGCCCGATGGTTGGGAGGACGGCCCGGAGCCAGCCGCGGCCTGGCGCCAAGGGGGGGATGAGACCTGGCAATGGTTCCCTCGTCCGCGCTGGCGCGCGTTGCCGCTCCTCATTTCGGGGTGCGTGAGTGGGTGGGGGGGCGTGCGCCGTGCCTCACCTGGCCCGCAGCATTCTTCTTCTCCGTAAAGTCCTTCAGCCCGCGGTCCTGGATCTCCCGCGCGATCTGCGTGACGTTCAGGCCCTGCGGGTAGTGCCGCAGCACCTCCCACGCGCAGTACTTCACGCTGTGCTCCCGCCCGCCGCGCTGCGCCTCCCGGAACGGGTTGGGCTGCCGCCCGCCGCGGCACCGCCCGCCCATGGGCCGCCCGCCCCCCCGGACGCGCCGATCCGATTGGCCCACCCGACGATCCCAACCACCCACCGCCCAACCGCCCCCCGGCGGACGCTCGAGCAGTTCAGCCGCCCACGCTCCGAGGTGGGGCGCTCAACGCGCAGGCTGCCGCGCACAACATGTGAATGTCAAAAGAGGCGACGGGCGCACGGCCGGCCAGGCGCACGGGGGGCATCTTCAGCAGAAGCCTGGGAGCCGCCCTGGCGCCAATCGGGCTGACCCCCGGCTGACTGTGGGACCCCCAGGCACCGGACCTTTTCCGGACCGTTTCCGGATCACGTGATCCGGAATCCGGGATGGTGGGACCTGGGGCCGGTTGGGGCGGTACGGCGAGCGCGGGGATCGGGGGGGGTGGGGGGTCCGATGAAAGGAGAGCGTTGGAGGTATGGGTGGGATGGGAAGGTGGTTGGCTGCCGAGGGCCGGCGGCGGTTCGCGATTGGCGGGGCCGACCGAGGCGGGCCCCGCGGCCCGCCGCGACCGTTTCGCCGGCCAGGCCACGTTCCCGGCAGCATGCCGCCCCCGAGACCGGCACACGCCGGCAAGACGTCGATCCTCCAGCGCGTAAAGGCTCTCGGCGGGGGGGGGACCGCCTGTGTGCGCCGCGCTGTAAAAGACTCCCGACATTTGGATTGGCAAAGGGGTTGGAGACATTGGGCGGATGGGGCGCAGCTGGAGGGTGCGCGAGGCCGTTGAGATGGATGTCGGGGACCAGGGAGGGATTGAAGCGTACCAAATCGGCAGGGGCGAGATTTGCGTTTCGACCGGCGCCGCGGTTGTGAACCCTACTCACCTGCGCTGTCCCTGCGCCTCCGCGGATTGGGCTGGTCACAGGGGCTCGCCTTGTCTGGGCTTGGGGTGGGCGGTGGGGGTGTGGCAGCGAGAAGGGATGTTTGGGACCGGGCGCTTTGCGGCGGGGTGTGCCCGGGGGTGGGCGGCACGCCGAGGGACGGCCGTGGCGTGCGCGACGCTACGTGTTTCGGGCCAACATGGCCTGAAGGGGTGTGGACGCAGGACGGCTGGGCCGCACGATTTTGGTCCGGTGGGCGCGTCCGGGGTGGGACTGAGTCATGGGCCGATCACGGGAATCATCCGGCCGGCCCGTGTACTAACCCAAAGTACTGGCACGATCCGTCCGGCGGCGATCGCCGTCGATGCCGCGGAGGGCGCGGCCGAGGGCGCCCGCGGGGGCCACGGGCCCGGCGGGTCGCGGACCGGGTTCATTGGCAGTTCAGCCAATCAGGTCTCGGATATCGGATACGCTGGCGGGAGTATCGCAGACGCGGAAAGTGTGTCTAGTTGGCTTTGATTAGCATGACTGAAGGCGCCCGCTCGCAATGAGAAGGGGTCATCGCGCTGGGGGAGGGCGGGGCTGGAAGGAGGGCGGAGGCGCCTGGTGGTTCTCTGGACTCCGGGATCCGGGCCCCGGCGAGGAGCCCGCGGCGACAGTGATCGCGGTTTGCGAGCCCGTGCTGCCGCGCAGTCCTCCGGCCGCTGGCGTTGTGCTCGCCGACCACGGATGCGGCGGAGACAAACACGGTGTGCAATGCGGTGTGCGCCAAATCACGACAGGTCGTGAAGAGCTGCGGGGCAAAATTCCGGCGGCAGCCCGCCACAGGGCTGGCGTTCATGAGCAGGCACCTTCCAGGGTTGGGCTGGGGGGAGGAAGTGCGGCTGAAGTTCAGTCGTTGCACAAGCCGGCGCAGTGAGAGGCTGCACTTTGACGTCTCTGTCAGGTTTGTTGCAGTTAAGAGCGAGCAGGATTCGACAGTTGCCTCCCAGAACACAACAGCAAGCACCTTTTCAAGGAATAACACCACTTCACCTTTGTCCACGGCGGGCTGTCAAGAATCCCAGAGCATCATCCCACACAAGATCCACCATCGGTTGGCTGGCTTTCCCCGTTGAACTCCAGGGAAGACGTCACACTAAAGAAGCCACAGGAGGCCGGAGGCATCCGGGTTGTCGCCATTGTGCTTTCTCCTTCTGACAAGCTTCCTCATACTTCTTGTAACTTTCCCTGGCATGTTCCGCTTGCGCTGCCCTTTGCTTGGGCCTCCATGCCACGGGCCTCCCTCCGGCGATGCAGGCGATGACGACGTTTGTCACCAGGCCGCCCTGCCGTCCCAGAGTCTGGCTCAGAAACTGGCGCCACTGGAATCAGCGACAACGTGCTTCCATTACTGACGCCCCGAACAATTGAAGTCTCATTTCAACCGCCAGAACGTCTTCTTCCTGGATGTGGACGCGTCTGACGTTGAATACGCTCCGAAAGGGCATGAAATTTGTTCCTCTGTCTTTTCCGTGAAGATCCCTTCTTGTTTCGGACAACCTAAACCCTAAACCACGGACTCACTGACCGGCGTTGGCCTTGTCAGCGGAAGAAGAAGGGATCTTCACGGAGCAGACGGGGGGAATAATAGATGCTCCCCTGACGGCAACGTTCCTTGGGGACACTGATTGCCCACATTTTTTCCACTCTGGACAAACGTGGCGCGCTGCTGGCAACCTCGTCAGCCGCCCTGGCGCCGATATTGGCACGCGCCTCCTGCAGTCCCGTGTTTCACGTGCGCGCGGAGGGGTGCTTAGCGGCGAGATGCCACCGACTGGGGGGGAATGATGCGCTGCTCCCCTCTAGCCGGCGCGGGACAAACACTCGCGGCGCCACCAGCGCCCTTCCTCGGGGCCACGGCCCTTCGCCTCGACCGACTCGACCCCGCCCCCCGGGCCGCGACGTCCCTTGGGCTCCGGCGACGGGAAGCTGCGGGCGGAGCAAATTCGCGGCATCAGATCCCAAAGGTGATTCCCAAGCAGACTCACGCTGATCATACTCAGCCAAGTCGATCTCGCGACGCTTAGCTGGGCGATCTGTTCCTCGCCGGTCCCCTCGACGGGCATCGCGAAGAGGCAATTTTGAGGGGGTGAGACCGGGGCGCGCTTTTCTCCGCGCCGTGCCGCGGGGAATCGAGCCTCGCTGGTGCCGTCGCGGCGTCGCGAGCGCATCGCAGGATGGCCGGGCCACCGCGCCGCTGCATGTCTCGAAATTCTTTTGAGCGGGGACGTTGCTCGCGCAGCGCGGTGGGGCAGCGCTGCGCCTGCCCAGGCCGGACTGTGAAGGTTTCCGCAGCTGACCTGGCGGCGCCCCCCACGCGATCGCAGAGGCGCTGCATCCTAAGGCCGGCGGATTTAGTCCGCGAGGCGGCTTTCAGGGCGTTGCGTCCTTGGAGTGGCTTCGGTGCGACCGTCGCACGCGCAGCGCGTGCAGATGCGCACGCCGAACCGGTGCCATATCCGGGCCTGCAGCGGCAAATCCAGTGGCGCAAGCGGCGGGGGGTTCAATATTGGCCGCACCCCCAATCCACGTCCGTTTGCCGTCAACCCCACACGCTTGCAGTCACCCCAACACGCCGCCGGGTGACCCGCGTCGCCTGAAATGTGACACTGGGAGTGTGGCCCTCAACACGCGGACCGCAACATGCTGCCCTTGACATGTCTCTCTGCGCTCGGGCCAATCCGCTTGCCGCCCGTCGTTCCCGAACGCCGCCTCTGACGGACAGATCGTGGGCTGAAAACAACGCAGGCACCCGTCCCCATTTGCGCCATGAGCGACTGGGGCCATCTCCCGCGCGACCTCTTCGGCCTCATCCTGCCGCTGCTGCGGCGGCCCGACCTCCGCAGCGCCAACCTGGTCAGCCGCCACTGGCGCGCCCACGCCCAGGCGGCTGTCACCCTCTGGAGGCCCACCCCCCCGGCCTTGGGCCTCTCCCGCCGGGTCTCCGCCCTCTTGCCCAGTATAACCGGCCTTGACTTCGAGCACTGCTGCGAGCACCTCACCGACGACCGCCTGAAGTCCCTGCTGCGCGACCTGCGGGGGCTGAAGAAGCTGAGGGCGGTCACGCTGGCGTGCTGCAGCGGCGTCAGCAGCCGAGGCCTGCAGGCCCTGGCGGATGAGATTCCCAGGCTCGAGTACCTCTCCCTGCGCGCTTGGTCCGCCCATGACGGCTGCTTGGGGGCGGGCCACACAGAGCTGTCCCCACTTGGGGTGCTGGATCCTCCCCAACATCCATTTCCTTCCGAAAAGGTGTTGGCGGCGTTCACGGCTCTCAGGCACCTGGATCTGTCCTGGAACCCAATTGAGGATGCAGCGCTTGCGGCCCTGGCGCAGCTGACCGGCCTCACCGGGCTGCAGGTCAAGGAGTGCAGCCGACTGACCGACGAGGGGGTGCCCCACATCGCGGCGCTGCCCAACCTAAGGTACCTCAATCTGTCCAACACGCAGGTGTCAGACGAGGGGCTGATGCTGCTCATGGATGCGCAGCTGGAGTCCCTGTGCCTGTCCAAGTGCTCCAGGGTGTCGGACGATGGGCTGTATTGGGTGGGGAGGATGGGCACTGTGCGGCAGCTGGACCTGAGTTTGTGCGGGGGCTTGACATCGGCCGGGATCGAGCAGCTGAAGGGGCTGCCGTGCCTGAGTGTGCTCCACCTGGGAGGCTGCCGCAGCATCTCCCCCAGCGGGGTGGTGGCCTTGGAGGGCCTGACACACCTAGAAGTCCTCAACCTGAGGGACTGCCCCTGGGTGTCCGATGCCACGCTGGGCGTCCTGGCAAAGTGTGCCACCCTGAGGGCCATTGGGTTGAGGAACTGTGGGTTGGTGGGTGATGCCGGCCTCAAGGCTGTGGCGGTGCTGCCCGGGATGGAGTCGCTGAACCTGAGGGGTTGCGAGAAGGTGACGGACGACGGGCTGCGCACGCTAGCTGCTGTGACCGCCCTGCAGGACTTGGACCTCAGCTACTGCGGAAGCGTCACGGACTGGGGTGTTGCGGCGATCGCCACGCTGCCAAAACTGCGAAGGCTGGTGCTCAACTGGTGCCGCCAGGTGCGGGCGTGCGCTTGCAGGCCTTTTGTCCGCCTCTCTTGTTGCTTGATGATTCATGTGGCACCCCCTGTCGATGCACACAGAACGTTGCGAAGGGCATCTTCTTCAGTATGTGAAGGAGTCTCAGAAGTTTCAGCCAAAAGAGAAGATAAGGAGAACGTGAACTGTCCTTGTTGTATGCAAGTCTTCTATTCTCACTATGAACCGCTGGCACCACTATGAATTCGTTGGACTGGCAGAACATGTGTGAGATTATGTGGTGTGGTTCGGTGCCCCACTCAATTGAGACGCAGCGACTGGCAAGAAATCATGGATCTGTTGCAGCGATGGACCAACAGCATTGGGCCAGACCTGAACCACCCCCATATCACCCGTCAATACTCCCCCTTGTTCACATCCACAATTGATCCTCTGCCCAGTGGAAAAGGTGGAAATGATGGACGACATCGACATGGACTTGTGCAGCTCCCAACGTCACTCAATCGATGCAAGGGCAGTACCTCGCTGTGCTTGACAGATCTGGTGTCTGTCGTTTTGCAGGTTTCGGCAGAGGGGTTGATGCACCTCAGGGAGCGACGGCACACCCTCAGACAGCTGTCCATCAAGGGGTGCCACATGCTGTCCTCTGCCAACCTGGTGTCCATAGCCTCAAGCCTGCCTGTGCTCGAGGAGGTGGACTACGAGTTGTGCCAGTGCTCGGTGCAGGTGGATGTGTGCCAGGGGGCTGGCTGTGGGACAACACGTCTCCCAGACATGAGCCGAATCGACTCTGTGGGGTGCTTCCAGGAGGTCTGCTGAAGCTTGTGTCGGCTTGTGCGAAGTGGGCAGGTGAACGGGACAAGCCAGGTCATGGAGGTATGTGGGTGTCTGCAGCGGCGCAGCGTTGGGCCTTGTGGGAAAGCAGCCGTTTTGTTGGCGCTAATCCATTTGATTCAAATGCATGCGAATTGTTTGACGATTTAGGCTGGGCGGGAAAGGGGGACGGAGTGCACGCGGCTGTGCTGGGAGCAAATTTTGTGGCCAAGATTGTGGTCATTGCTGCGCTGCGATTTTGTGATGGGTGGCATTTGTGCTGGAGTGCTAGTGCAAAGGTAGTGGGAACGGCTGAGTCTGTGTGCAGTGGGCACTGTAGTATGTAAAGGGGCATGCTGATCGAGCACACAGCACTCGTTGAATTGTTGTAGCAGTGGCGATGTGCACAGATACCAGTCGGTTTTTTGGTTTGCAGTAGAGGCATGCCTTTGCTTCATGATAGAAGATGATTTGGGTTGTCCTTGGACAGCAGTAGTTATGGAACTCCCGAGACCAAGAGTGGTTGCAGGCAAAGGGGGCCTGCTGACGACTACTGAAGTTCGGAAGGGCGCGCACCTGAGGGAGCTTGTCGTTTGGGTGCTGTCGCGCACGGGATCAGTGGACGAACAACGTGGTGCCTATTGCATCGGTCTTGAATGTCCGAGTTTTGATTGGGTTGAATGCACGGGCCCCAAGAGTGGCGGCAATTGGGTTTGGCGGGTAGGTGGATGGGTGGTTAGCTGGCTGCGCGCTGCCCAAACGACAATTCGCGGACTGGCTGAACACATCCGTGATGATGCATTGATCGCTCATAGCTGGCAGGAGACACAGGACGCCATGTGTCCGGTTGTGGATTGAGACACGGCCGACCAATTTTGAAGGCTTTCACTGTCCTTCTTCAGCCCAGCTCCAAATTTAATTCTTCGCTATTGTTTGGCAACAGTGGCCTCCGTGTGTTCCTCTCTGAAACTACTCTCGCAGCATCCGTGACCAGAGATGGGGGTGGGTTCTGCGTGGTTTGGGGTGGGGATACATTCCTGAAGGCTGCACGGATTCCACCTTCGATGAACGACAGGGCGTGGAGCCCCAAATCTTTCTCCGATGTGGCATACCACATGTCTTCGTGGGACATGCCTTGACCCTGACAAACTCAGCCGCCACGACTGGACAAGGAGACAATTTCCCATGGCACGAGGCGCAGAGATGCTCGCCTTCCTTTTGTCGACCCACGGGGTTTCGTCCACGTTCTTTCGCGCATGCTGGGCGGTCGCTGAATTCTGCTTTGACTGCATTTCGCCCCATGAATGGCGCCCTGGTGCCTGGCTGCCCAGTCGATGAAGCGCACCTTGGCCTCTATGGTGTTTGTTTTTTGAGTGCTCATAAATGTATTTTTGAACGGCCTGCCTGCACTTTTCACCGGCGACTGGCAAGGAACGGAGTGCTGTTCTGCCTGACCAATGAACTCGGCTCAGACCTGGAGCGCCTGAGGGTTACACTTCTGCACCACTGTAGTTTGCCACGACATGTCTGCCACAATGATGGTAACGATAGTAGGTCGACCAAGATTGTGCATTCGGGGGCTCCCGAGAAGGCAGATTGTTGATGGTTGGACATGCAGGGTGGAAAACTCCACATCTTTTGCGAAGGTTGGCAGCGACTAGAATGGCAGACTGGCCATGCTGATGATGCTCACTGCAATTCACAGGACGCAATAGGGCGCAGCTCGGCCGAATCACCCAGCAGAGTAACTTTAGGCACGTGCTCGCCTGGCGATCAGGGTACCCACAACCCACATCCACGCTCCACACTTACTAGCACAGCCCAAAACACACTTTGAAGTGGTTGCAGGGTGCCTTCAACCGCAGACACAAACGGCCAACTCAGCAACATTTCAATACCCAGGCACAGGGCATCTGCAGCTCGCACCCAGAAAGCGAATGTTGCAGGCTCCTCATTGCACATGCTCTGATGTAGCGCAGGCTGCGCCTTCCCACGGTTAGATAAGTCCCAATACAGACCCTCACAATGTAGTATTGACCCACTCAAGGATGCTTGCAAACTGCACTTAGTCGTGTTCGCACTGATTGTCTCTCTGTTGCAGTTGGAACATTTGACGACCCCTGTGAACCACAGGTCTTCTTCTGCGCAAGGGTCCAGGGTAATGGAAACACCACTGCTGGTGGCCTGGCCAAAGGTCAAAGAAACAACACGATTGGTGGCCTCAATGGCAGCAGTGGTCCATAAATGTGAGAATGGTGACAATGGTACATGCGATCAAAGTCTGAAGCACATGTGGATGGACAATTTTTGCATTTTTATCTGCTGCTGCATCAACCGGACGTCTGCATTCGAGATTCAAAGACATGGTGGGTTTTGGCACGAGCCACCAAAGCAGCTGCTGGAGATGCTTTCGACATTCGAGGACATGTCTGCCCAGGACAGACCAAATATGTTATTGACGAGGCCATAGCCACAGCCTGCGGTGAGAAGCGCGTCAGCTACATTTCCGAGCTGCAGCTGCCAGTCGTCCTCGTCCTGTCTTGTCCCAGTGCGAAGCGGCGTCGTTTCTCACAGGCAGCAAGCGCTGGATTTGCACCAACTCGAATCTGTCCCTTTTCTGTGGGTTTACACACTCGCCTCCTTTCGCAGCCATATCTTTTTCATTCGTTTTCTTCCCGTATCCCTCCTTTCTCGGTCTTTTCTTTCCTTTCCATCCCCTCCCTCCGCCTCACAAATCGGTCCAATACAAAATCTGATTCCCAGTCCGATTCCCTGGGCACAGAACCAAGTTCCAGATCACCCGTCTCGAACAGCGTCCCCATTCCCCCGCGACTCCTCCCCCTCTCGCCGCGAAGGCACCTCGATTTCGATGTCGGATGTCGGCAGCTCAGACGGGCCCCCTCTCGCCCTGACCGCCGCCCAAAACTGCCGCCGAAACTTCGGGCTCACGATCAGCAGCCAGGGCCACAGCGCGGACAGCCGCCACCTGCTGCCCTCCCTGAACGCCGTGGCCTTGAAATTCCTGTTGAACAGCGCCGTGCCAACGGCGTAAATGCACGCCACCAGCGCCAACGCAAAGACTCCAATAGAGCCGAACAGCGGCGCGGGCGCCTGGTGGGCGACCACCATGCCCCCCGAGGAAACCACCACCGACTCGCTGTAGCTGTACCCCCCGGGGTAGCTCTCCTCCCGCCGCTCTATCCGCACGCCTGGCTGCGACTCCTGAACCCTCTCCAGCGCCCGGCGCTGTACCTCCCTCGACTCGCGCATCATTCGCTCCATCTCGGCGTCCATCCGCCGCTGCATGCGATACATGTCGGCGCTCATGGATTCGAATTGGGCGTCAAAATCGTCGAAGGGATCGCCAGGGACATCGCGAGCGGCCCGGGCAAGCGGAGAGGCTCGGTGACGAGGGGGGTGGATGGCCGGGTGGGCCACGTGGAGGCGACGGTGGCCGCATGGCGGCTGCGGGCGCCGGGGGACGGCGCCTGGGAGGAGCGTCTGGTGGCTGGGGCGGGGGAGAGCGGGGAGAGGGGGGCGGAGCGGCGGGCCGGTAGCGCGAGTGCCCATGGCTCCCTGCAACGAAACGAGCTGAAGTGCGGGCAAAAAAATGGTTCACACACAATCGCTTTTCAGCCTCGACCGATCGATTTTTGGTTTTTGGATGCGGTCGATGCCGCGTGCGAAGGGAAGGGACATTGGGCAGGCGCGAGTGGCCTGAAAGCTCCCCGGGGGGAAGCAGAAAGACTAATTTCGAAGATGTCTTGAAGCCATGGCCTTTTCGCTGAAAAACGCGATACATTTAGCGGCTTTCTTCTTTATTTACTGGGGAAACGTGGGCAGGAAAGGCACCATCTGCTGAGAATGGCCATATCTCCAAAACTGTCCATCATTGCCAAAGTTGAATTGCAATTTTCATTTCCAAATTCCACTTTCTTCTGCATTGTCCAAATTCAATTCCAGTTTTCGACGTCAACAATGCCCTCAAACACTTGCCAAGCTTTGCGCTGCTTCACCAAGCCTCCTTGGTATCCACTGTACCCCAGAGCTCAGGACAAAAACACAGAAAAGACTGGTCCCAGAAAGCGCTGGCGGAGTGAGCACATCGAATTTTCGTGCACCTCAGGCGGGGAGAATACGTCGCTCCTGGATCTGTGAAGGAGGGGTGGCGGATGAAATAATATTACTGCCTGCACCAAATCGGTGACTGCTTGCACCAAGTCACGTGCACACTTTGTCCTAACCTCAGTTTTAGGGTTAGGTTTAGTTCAGGGTGAGTTTTAGGGTTAGGGTTAGGGTTAGGACAGATTAAGGTTTAGGGTTTAGGGTTTAGGTTTTAGGTTAGGTTAGTTTTGACGGAGTTGGACATGATGTGCACGTGACTTGGTGCAAGAAGTCACCGTTTTCGTGCAAGCAGTCACCGATTTGATGCAGGGAGTAATTTTGTGCCGGTGGCGGATGGTGATAACTAGAACCACCTCAGGTAATGGTCACCATCGTGCACCCCCTGCTTCCCAGTTTCAGGAGCAACGTATCCCCCCCCGCCTCCGCGTTGAACGGTGACGGCTTTCTCCTGGCGGTACACAGGCGCCGCAGGTGCCACGTGCAGGGTTGACTAATCCGCCCGATCCCCAGATTACACCCATCGCGGTCGAATGGCGCGGTGGACGCTTGGGGCCGTGCGCCGGTGTGTGGATCCCGATATCTCTGAGGTCACCCACCCGAGGCCACTCGTGGCGAGAGGGCGCGTACACGCAATAACCGCACCTCGGCGCCGGCAGCCCCGCCCCAGGGCACCCCCGCGCCCGCCCGCCCCACTGCAAAGAACAACTAGCGAGCCTGCGCGGGTCGCGATCTCGGCAGGATTGTTCCGGTCACCCTTTGCCCGGCCGGCATCCCTTGCCAGGGTGTGACGCGCTGCGGAGGTGAGCGTCGCGAGGAGACGTCGCGATGGGGCGCGGGGTGGGGAGAGGGGAAAGGGGCGATGCCGTTCGGCTCGAAGGGCAGACGTTTTTGGCGATCCAAGGTGGGGCCGTCGGGCGCCCGGCGTCCGAGTTTGAGTACTTCGGCGGGGCCGCGGCCCAAGGGCGCCACACGGTGGCCGGATGCCGCGCTGGTGATCGCGGCGCCGGAGCGGCGGGGCGGATTTTTGAGCTTCGGGAGGGGATCCGCGCGGGGCTGGGGTTGTGTTTTGGGATTGTGGCGTCGGACGGACGGCCATCTGTCGGGAGGATCTGCGCAACGTGGCGCTTTCCCCGTCGGCTGGCATGAATTTACGTGAGTCGCGCGAGTGCCGGCGGTCCTGGCGCCCCTTCCCGACGGACGGGGGGCGTTTAGAGGCTGTGATTTTGCCGACGCGGCGGCCGGGCGTGTTTGTGTGACCGCAGGCCTGGCCGCGGGAGGAGGCCGGCGGCCGGCGGAGCCGCAATGAGGAGTCGGATTGTGTCGACATCGCGCCTGGTGGTGCTGGCGCTGGCGTTGTCCCTGGCCTGCATCGCGGGCAGGGACATTGGGCACGGTGGTGAGTGCCGGAAGGGGTGGGGGTTTTGGCGGGCTTGGGGGGGAGAGGGCGGCAATGGAGTGGGGGCGGGGGACTTGTGTTTTGGACGTAGGCAGTCACTCGAGTCGCGGCCTGCAGCCGCGGAATTGTTCGCCCAGCCTTTTTGCCGGCTTCAACGATCTTTTGCATGGCTTGCGTTCCGTGAACGCCAAAATCAAGCTGCTGAAAAAGGGTCACCGGCAGTGGGGTGAAGCAGGGATCCATTGATGAACCTGGAGTCAATTGTACAAGGGGGCGCAAGTTGGGGCTGAAACTGGAAGCTCTCTGGCGGTTGGCTGAGCGTCTAGTGCACTCAGGCTACAGAAAGCTTGTGCCTTTTGGCGGAAAGGCTACAGTGATCTGTGAATGCAGTGGGTGGCATGTATGGTCCTGTCACGAGCCTTTCCATGCGTCGACTGTTGTCCATCCCTTTGGAGCATGACAGCCCTCCTTGGGCTACCCGGCCCATATGAGCGGACCACTGCCATGAATTGCCCATCCACTTCTGTGGATTAGAAGCAGAACACGTGGGGCGACTACTGTGGGTCGAGGACTTTGCCCTCAATAGTTGCGTTCCTAATTGCTGTTGCTTCCCTTGGCAAGGAAATCTGCACGAGGGCTTGATGCCTTGTGGCCTGAGCCATTCAGTGCACATGGTCGTACATTCTGGCACCTATGAATATCTTGCCATTTGCATGCACTGCACTGATTGGCACTGTGAACCTTTGGAGTTTAAACCATGCACTCCGCACATGTCTGCTGGCAATTTGTGGACCATTGTGTTTATTTATTCCAACTGTTAAAAAGACAGTACAAACAAATGTCATAGTCCATGCACACTTTTGCATCCTGCTCAGCATTGCCATTCTTTTTGTGGGACATTGTATTGCACATTGCCCCTTGTTGCACTCTTGGACTTGTGTATCATCTTGTGTAGTGTGGAAAATTCTCTCACGAATTCTCCTGTGAGGGGGAAGTGGGGGAACAGAGAAGGGGGGAGGGGGCGCACCAGGGGAGAAGGACCTGTTGGCTTGCTTTCAAGCACATTTCTTTGTAGGCACGATGACTAGAGACGCCACGCCGTTTGCTGTGATGGTGCAGTGTAAGGAATTTTGACATTTTGCAGGTGGATGGACAAAATCTCAGGCTAATGGAGAGATGAGAGTTCTGCTTGAAGAACCCACAGCTCGCAAGATCCAGCCACGGATTGTGGTGGGTACATTTGCTGCCAGCACTGTGCTTGCTGCCCAGACATGCTGGTTTGTGATTCATGATGTGGGGCACGGTAGCCTGACATAGTGAACAAACACTGGTTGTATGTTTGTGTGCCCATCATCGCTTGCAAGGTGCAGAAGGCTTGGTTCGCTATGGCTACTGCAGTACATGGAGTTGAAGAAACCGCCAACAGTGATGGCAGACAGTCTGCAGTGCAGTGCAAGGTCTTTGTTGTTTTTGTTGCAAAGGCTTTTGTCTATTTGTGGTTGAGAATGGGTGACAAAACCCACTAAGTGGCTGACAGTTTGTGCCCCATAATAGCCATCCAGCAAGGGTGAAAACAGAAAAATGGTTTGTTGCGAGAGCACCATGCACCTACTGTGGTGCACAGAATTGCACATGTGCTTAGTTGATCAACAGTTCTGTAGCATGTGCTCCTGGAAGGCAGCCGATCATGCACTGCTTCTCTTTGCTGAATGGTCTGTTAGTGCCTCACTTCTGCTGCAATGTAATCCTTGGTTGGCTGATCTGCAGGGTGGGGAGGATGCACCATGTGGTCGCTTTCCTTACATGGCTTCTTTGCAGACACTTTCGGGCAACCACTTGTGCGGGGGTGTTCTGATTGACAAGCAATGGGTCTTGACTGCTGCCCACTGTGTGGAAAATACTTCACAGCTTTACCCCACACATGTGATTGCCCTCGGCCTGTGCAACATCACGGATGGACAAGGCACTGAGGACTCAGGTCGCATTGTTGAGGTAGATCTGTTTTTTTTTCAAGTTTGGGACTTTCTTATAGCCTGGGAATGTTTAGTCTTTTTTTTCAGAAGCAGTGCCTACTACTCATGCTTTTTTTTGACTCAAGGCCAAGGGGAAGGCACCTTGGGTTTGGAATGTGTGTGAGTGTGAGCGTTATGCTTCCACCACACTGTGATTCCGTTTCTTGTGGGATACAGGCACTGTGATACACACACGTGTGCAAGAAAATATGGACCCAAGACAATGCATGGGTCACAGCTTTGTTTGTAGCATTGTGCCCATTGTGTGGTGCACATAGCTGTCATTGACACCTTCTCCAGTCTGTAACGTGCTGGCAGAGTAGCGTATGAAGGAAATTAGCCAGTTGCCCTCAAGATAAGATATGTGGGTGGAGGGGTGCTAGGCTCGAGCACACAGCAGCGCTTCAAGAAGATTGGCTGCGAGCGCAGTGCAACTAAGTGTGTACTCGGACAGTTGTGTCAAATCAATCCAAAAGGGTGCCTCCTAAGTTAGGGAATGGTTCTGTCTCTGCTTGCCTGAACCTTCTGTGCCTGCCTCTGATTAGAATCGGTTTCAGTTCGTTCAGTGATGTACTTAGTGATTCTGACAAGAAATGTACTGCTTGCCCCAGTTCTTCACAAGTGAGAGGATCGAGGTCCACCCTATGTACACGGGTAATGCTGAGGACGGATACGACATCGCGCTGGTGAAGCTGAACAAGGAGTCGCAAAACGAGCCAGTTTCTATTGCGACCAACCCTGATGAGCTGCAGAACCAAAGGAAGGTTTCTGCTCTGGGATTCGGCATATCCGACGAGGGTGTGCCCGCTGACACCCTGCAGTTCACGAATGAGCTGATCGTCATAGAAAACGTGCTGTGCAAAGGCCTCTGGCAGGATGTCATCCAAGACTCGATGCTTTGCGCTTTTGGATTTGAGGGTGTTGATACCTGCCCAGGTATGACCCTGCATATGCAGTATCCAGTTGGTGCTATGAGTTCTTTGCTCAATATTTTGAGCAGCTCATCTGCCATTAGCCCTCACTCAAAATGCTGCGCTGCTTGATTGAGTTACAACATGCAGCAGAGAGCTTGCAGTGAGTGTATGTAGTCAGCAGTTGCCATGTTGGTGGAATTCAGCATCAGATATATTTGTTGCACCATGATGGTTTCTTGATTTAGCTCAAGTCTGTAAGATCCATGGTGGTGCTGCTGTGGACATATGAGAAATTGGGTTGATTGTTATAGCATCAGTCCAGAGGCTAGACATCACTGCAACATATGGCTAGGCAATGGCTGTGAGGGCGTGTTTCCCCATGATACCAGCATGGCACCAGGAGTTTGTGGCCATGCTGTCAGCACTTTTCTCGGTGTGTTTTCTCGACGACTGCTAAGTCGTACATTGTAGTTGGTTGGTTTGTGGATTAGAGGTACCAAAGCCAGCAGACCAACTGATGGCAGATAGCTGTTCTGCAGAACAGGGACTGGATGCTTGAGAAACGTAATGGGAAATTTTGCTGACAGGAGTGATCGGATTAAACTGCACCAGAGAAGTATTTGGAGAAGCAGCATCCACAATTTTTCCTGCACGCGTCTGCTGTGGCAGTGTGCCTGTTGTGCAACCCCAAATGCCCTCAATGCACAATGAGGCAATCGGTGCAGTGGAGAAATTGATACCATGTTTCATTCCCCTTTGCTTACTGTATCTTGTTGTGCTGGGGACGATGAATTGCAGCATGATTGAATGCAAACATTGTGCACGATGGGTTGTGTTGAAAAGGCAGTTCTGCACATCCTGTGATCACAGCGCATGTTACAGTTTTGGCAGTCTTGCTTGGAGAGCTATAGGGGCAGTTTAATGTCAACTGGTGCAATGTATAGCCAAGTTGAACGTATTGTCTCTTCTGTAATTGGATGCTGGTGCAGACTATGACCAAATGCCAGAAAGAACAGCATCAACAACAGCATAGGAATGGTGCAGAGTCGCAATCTCACACATCAGCTTGGGCGTTGGCAGGCCACTCTGCTCGAGCACTCATGCTCGATGGAAGGTCATTTTTGTGTATCTGGAGGCACATAGTGGAGCAATTGCTTGTGCTGGCCTCACTGGTAACATGTGCCACTGATTGGGTGACCAAATATTGTTCATATTGTGATATCGTGCAGCGAAGGTATTTGTGCATGACTGATAGGGTCTGAATTCAAGTCGCTTGTCTATATCTTCACTTGGTTCTTTGTGGAGAAGCAGGAGACAGTGGCGGCCCTCTCCTGGTGACATTCCAGCCTGATGGTGACATTGAAAAGGGCATCCCTAGCATTGATAAGGTCGTGGGCGTCACGTCGTTTGGAGAAAAGTTGGCCTGTGGCGAGTCTGGCATTCCGGCTGTGTACACAAGGGTGACCAGCTTTGCAGAGTGGATTGAAGCGATCATAGAGGTGAGCGAACTGTCGTATTGTTTTTTGCACGATGACCAAACACAACGCACACAGTAAGGTTGGATGGGGAGTGCTCACTTGTGCAGATAAATGGGAATTATTCATAGCAAGCTCTGCAGTTCACAATTTCATGTGAGCATTGGGCACGTGTGACGAAATATCTATGATACACATGGGCATCTTTTTCTTGGATTCTTCTGTTAGGATCGAGCCTTCCATTCCTCAGTGCCACTGGTTGGTTTGTCTCACAGCCTGCTGTGGCTCGGTTCTTCCCTTCGAGCATGCTATTTGCTGGCATCCGGCGTGTGTTGCGGCTGTGCTGTGGTTGGGACGCGTTCCAGGCTGCTTTGTGTGGACCTGGATTGCTGTCTCGGCTGAACTTGCTACATTCTGCAGGGAGAGGAACCTGCCGAAGAAGAGCCGGAAGAGCCTGTCGAGGAGCAGGTCGAAGAGCCTGTCGAGGAGCAAGTCGAAGAGCCTGTCGAGGAGCAGGTCGAAGAGCCGGTCGAGGAGCAGGTCGAAGAGCCGGTCGAGGAGCAGGTCGAAGAGCCTGTCGAGGAGCAGGTCGAAGAGCCTGTCGAGGAGCAGGTCGAATTATATATGCCCAAGAGCCGGTCGAGGAGTTTGCCGGGTATTTTGGCCGTTTATGGTTTCAATGAGTATCCGGAAGAGCCTGTCGGTTGGTTTGCGCCTGAAGAGTCCGAAGAGCCCGTCGAAGAGTCCGAAGAGCCGGTCGAAGAGCCGGTCGAAGAACCGGTCGAGGAGCCGGTCGAGGAGCCGGTCGAGGAGCCGGTCGAGGAGCCGGTCGAGGAGCCGGTCGAGGAGCCGGTCGAGGAGCCGGTCGAGGAGCCGGTCGAGGAGCCGGTCGAGGAGTCCGAAGAGCCTGTCGAAGAGTCCGAAGAGCCGGTCGAAGAGTCCGAAGAGCCCGTCGAAGAGTCCGAAGAGCCGGTCGAAGAGCCGGTCGAAGAACCGGTCGAAGAGCCGGTCGAAGAACCGGTCGAAGAGCCGGACGAAGAACCGGTCGAAGAGCCGGTCGAAGAACCGGTCGAAGAGCCGGTCGAAGAACCGGTCGAGGAGCCGGACGAGCCTGTCGAGGAGCCGGAAGAGCCTGTCGAGGAGCCGGAAGAGCCTGTCGAGGAGCCCGAAGAGCCGGTCGAGGAGCAGGAAGAGCCGGTCGAAGAGCCCGAAGAGCCGGTCGAAGAGCCCGAAGAGCCTGTCGAGGAGCCCGAAGAGCCTGTCGAGGAGCCCGAAGAGCCTGTCGAGGAGCCCGAAGAGCCTGTCGAGGAGCCCGAAGAGCCTGTCGAGGAGCCCGAAGAGCCAGTCGAACAGCCGGAGGAGCCGGTCGAGGAGCCTGAAGAGCCGGTCGAAGAGCCTGTGGAAGAGTCAGTCGAAGAGCCGGAAAAACCAGTTGAAGAGCCAGAAGAGCCGGTTGAGGAGCCGGAAGAGCCAGTCGAAGAGCCGGAAGAAACGGTTGAGGAGCCTGTCGAAGAGGACGCAGAGGTAGGTGCTTGTGACACCGCTCCTTTCATACTGCACTTGCAGGTGCAGTTGCAGCACTTTTGCTGGCCCTGCAGGGCCAATGCAAGTACCAGGGCGCACCATTCTTTTGACAGTAGTGCATCTCTATTTGATGGCCAGCCATCCTGTTGTGGGGGCCAGCAAGAGTCAGAGCACCTGCTGGTGTCAGTAATTCCTCCCAAGATGGAGCCCTTGGGAACATCTGCGATGGGCATGCAGAGTATATACTACATATGGCACAAGACGAACGTGTTCATAGAATACTTTATGGCGTGACACGCTTTGCCAGTGCAACCAGTGGCGAATTCATCCGAAGCTGTGGACTGGATATAACTGCCTGTATGATTTCTGAAGATCACTGATAGCTTGCTTGTATGATTTCTGAAGATCACTGATAGCTTGCTTGGCAGGGTGCCATACTGTACACTGTTATCCTAGTACGGTCTGTTGTGACACTGTCACCCCCTTGTATTTCATACTGCATCACTATGCCAATCCAAAGTGTTGGAAGTGGAGCATAGTTCAAGAGTGCAGCTGTAAACATATGTCACAACTTCTTGGTGATCTTCTTGGCTGTGCTGCCTTTGTCACCAGCCCTGTCCTTGCTCCGAGGATGGTATCAGCAATGGCACCGAGACGGGCTTCGGCGGATGCAGCAGACGGCTAGAGGCTGGCGCTGCGCTGTGCTACGTACAATCCAATGAGGGTCCCTGCTCGATCGCCAGGGCCTCGAATCTGTTCTCTGGTGCATCGTGGATATCGTGCGGGGTGAGTATGGTGAATTGTGGACTTTCATATCCAGTGCATTGTTGGCTATCCGTGTTATCTGATGTTTTTGTGCAGCAACATCGTTGCCAATGATGTGCACTGACGTTTAAGCACCTGTGCGACTTTGCTCAGGCCGACGGCGATGGGGAATCTGTCGGTGTTCAGGAACTTTCAAAGGTAGGTTGCTGCACTTGATTCACCAGGCACGGCCCCTTTACAACCACTTTGTTTCAGGCGAGTGTGCTGTCAGTGCCACACACTGCAACCCAGTACTGCCCAGTAGGTATATCGACAATGATTGGTCTCCCTGTAATACTGGATGCAATTCAACTGTATTTTGTTTGGAATAAGAGGAGATAATAGCAGCAGCAATGCCCAGCACAGGCGCTCATATCAGCTTTGTTCTCTCTTATGGAACAGGACGCTTCTGCCGACGTAGCCCAGCTGAATGAGGTGAGTTGATTGCGTGGTTCAGATATTTTTTAGTGAATTCGTTCAGGAAACTTGTGTCACATGCATGAGCTCAAGTGCCGTAGCCATCATTTCTGGAAGGGGCACCTGTTGGGTCTTTGGATGTTGACCTTTTGGGTGGTTGTGTCGTTTGTGTGCCTGGCTGGGGTACGTGTTGGTACAGTTGAGACCTTGAAAGTTTTGGCGTTCAATCCCATATTAGATTTTGTGGTTCTACCTTGTTGCCTTTGTCACCTATGTGACATAATAATGCTCAACACCTTCAGAGCAGCAACATATTTGCTTGGATGATTTCTTAATCTGCAATAATGCAGTGTCTAGCATGCTATAGCGTGACTCCGCTTCCCCTTTATTTTGATATGAGCACCTTTTAAGACGAAACGTCCGTTGGATGTGCACGGTCAAAAAAAAAGGATCAAAGAAAAAGAAAGGATCAAAGCTTGTTGGACCACAACATGCCCAGTCTAAATGACATGTTCAACCGATGGCTTGCCATGAGCTTCCTGTTGGCAGAGCTGCAGCTCCTCGATGGAACAGCAGCCGCATATCACGATTTCAATTCACACGAATAAACCACCATATGTGAAGGTGCCGCCGCCAACACCATTCCACCATCGCAGCATGGACAGCGCGTCCAGCGCGGCCCCACTGCCATTCCCTATGCTGGTGCAGAACTTGGGGCAGGAGAGAGCGAATGGAGATACTCGGCTGTCCCTGGGACTGTGTTGGGTTTTTTTGGTTCCTTTGGTGCCTGTTTTGGTCCCTTTGTGCCTTTTTGGTGCCTTTTTGGTGTCGTTTTGGTGCCTTTTTGGTGTCGTTTTGGTGCCTTTTTGGTGGCCCTTTTGGCGCCTTTTTGGTGGCCCTTTTGGCGCCTTTTTGGTGGCCCTTTTGGCGCCTTTTTGGTGCCTTTTTGGTGCCTTTTTGGTGCCTTTTTGGTGCCTTTATGGTGCCTTTATGGTGTGCCTTTTGGCGCCTTTTGTGGTGCCGTTGTTGTTTCCTTGTTCCTTGTGTGCGATTTTTTTGTTGCCGTTTTGGTGTCTGTACGTCAATGGCAACCCCTCCCAGGCGCCCCAAGTGTTTTTTTTTACCCAACGCGCCCGGTCCAGCTACTGCAACGCCGACTCACTCCCCCCCTGCCCCCCTGCCCCCCAGGAGCTTCAAGGTGCCGTTGCGGGCGGCGACGCGGACGCCACCAGGGACGCCCTCCTCAGGGGCGCCGACCCGGAGCACATGTTCCGGTCCGTCCCCGTCCTCCACATTGCGGCCACTATCAACGACGTGGGCGTGGGCACCGCCCTGATCGAGGCCGGCGCGGACGTCAACTCCGCCGACGAGATAGACGGGTCCACGCCGTTGCACAGCGCGGCGGGCTGGGGGAACGCGGAGTTCGTCGAGCTGCTGGTGGCGGCCGGGGCGGACGTGAACAAGAGGAACAACTTCAACAGGACGCCCAAGAGCTCGATCTGCGAACTCAACCTGGGCGGCGTCGTGGCGTGCCCGAGGAGCGAGATCCAGCTCCTGCTGGAGGCGCCGTGATCGGCGCCGACGGCGAAACGAATGACGACGGTCGGCGCTGGGAAACGACGGTTTTGCCGCTTTGCGAGCGGGAGCGGATCGGGGATGGCGTATGGATTGTTGATATGTATTCATCGTTGCGCGCCCCTGGAGGGATGCTGCTGTGGGGCGGTGGGCGATATTTTTGCGGTTTTGTGGACAGGCAACGACCCCCGCTATGCATGTGCGACGCGAGGTCGGCTAGAGTGGACAGGTTGGCCGCCGAGCTGCGCGCTTATACCGAGGGGATCGGGTCCCGGCGAGTGCAGCGGATTCTTGCGCACCGCCTGGCCGAAGCGGGACGATTCAGTCAAGCTGCGCGCTCCCAAGCGACCCAGATGTTCGGGGGTGTGGGTCCGGATGGCGCCGCGCGAGACGCGGGGGGAGGGCTGCCTTTTCGCCTCGCCTTCGGCGAGGCGCTGCGTGTTGTGTGCGTGGTTGGCAGGTGCGAGTGGGCGGGCACATTTTTTTCGCGCTGAGAATTGGCGTGCAGCGAGCGGCGCCGATTGGCGCTGCGGGTGATGTTGTAATTTGACGACCTTTAGGGGTGGGCCGGGGAGCCACGCGTCCAGGTCGAAGGGCGCTTGGCACCCGCCCGGGCGAAGGGGATGAAGCGTGGCACACGCAATTCCCCGTGGCCTTTTGCGGTTCAAGATTTGCTATGAACGCTACGCTGTTAACTGTGGTTGCTTGTTGCTCGGGTTGCCGGTGTGTGGGGCGGATCAGTGAAAGTTCAGTGGTACTTGTTGGAAAGGGATGCTGGTGGGCGCAACCGACAAGAGGAAGTGAGCATCACTGGGCCGTGTGTGATTGGTCAAGATGCCAAAGATGACGTTGAGCTGACTCCACATGTTGATGTCCAACAATCATGTAAAAGATTGCTATCCGCCATGGGAGTCATGCGCGTGAAAGTCCAATGCCGAAAGGTCACAATTTCTTTTTGCGGAGCCCCAAAATAACTGTCTGTTGGGAAAATGAAGAATAAGAATAGTAACGGTGAAATTTTCTGACGCAAAAGGGTTGAAAATATTTCGCGGTCGCAAATCATTGGTGCTCGGGACACCAATAATGGAAGCATTGTCGTTTAATAATGCGACCCTCAGTTGCGACAAGCTGGTGCCCCGTGAGGCCCAGATTGCCTTGGCAAGGGACTCCAGTACGGGGAAGCCTTGGCCACTGGAGACGGTTGCCCTAAGAGGGAATCGTACGGGCAGCGGGAATTACCGGACAATATTGGCCTACTGACTATTGCAACTAGGCCTAGACAGGATGACAACATCCAAGGCACACTCACGTAACCCTATACAGCTAAGCACCCCAGATGCAGAAGCGCGCCCGAAGCAACAACCCCCCAAAGGCATCCATGCCTCCTCCGGGAGTGCTCGTCCCCGTGTCATGACGAGCGACAAGTCGTCCGCTCAACGCGGAAAGGAGAGGCCCTGCAGTGTGAAACCAGAGCAATGCCCACTGCTGTTGTGGGCGGTTCCGTGTGAGGCCATGGGCCGGCGTTGGGGGAGTCCAGCCGCACGATGACCAGCACTGTCCGTGCGGGCATGGCCCTTTCCCGCCAGGGGATTGAACCGCCTCCCCTTAGCCTTTCATCCTGCCAACGTAGTTCCTGTCCGGAAGGGGTTGTGTGTTTTTGTCCCCACTCCGGATGGCCATGACCAGGACTGCCGGGTCGCAATGGCCCGGACGTTCGCGAGCAGCACGCAAGGCTGAGCCGAGCAATATGAGCCGGTGGGTTTATGGAGCAGGGGCTGGCCGCCGATCTGACTGGCAATGGTTTGCGGCGGAGCCCTAGGGAGAGAAACGCACCGACCTGGAACCATGGGCGGGGTCACGGGGAGCGATGGAGAGTGACAGGTCCGAGGACCTGGAGGGGAAATGGAATTAACTATCTTGTTAATGGGTTTCTGCGAAGGGCGACGATTGGGAGGGCGCGCAACGGCCAGGTCGGGCCGTTCCGCCTTTTGGACAGTTTGGGGCCAGTCGTAAGCCGGTTTCTGTCACCTGTACTCGGGGTCAGTGCTGCCCGACGTATCCAAGGGAGCTTGGGTTGAACCTTGTACCTTGGGCGCAGCCAAGGGGACCGGTCAAGCTGGCCCTTGGGTTTGGCGGGGAGTTTGGCGGCAAGTGGGAGTGCTATTTCAGGCGCGATCCTTGGCGCCCCCCTTATCTTGTTTCGCTTCGCGCCAACACTTTGGCACAACCCGGAACCACCGAGTGGTTCGACCTTCCGGCCTTCGCGCCGAGTCCTTTCTGTATGAACCCCAGCCCTGCCGAACAGTGGCTGCGGGCACAGGCGCTTCGTTTCAACCAGCGCCTCCCTGACCGTCCTATTGAGGTCACGTGGGTTTCAAACCCCCGGTTACTCCCCCGCTCAGTCAACAACAGGGTCGCCAGGCCGGACTTTACGTCTTTCCCGGCCTGGTTCGACGTACGGGAGACCGGCCAGGGCCAGACCGTCGCCGCGGCCTTGGGACCCAACTCCGGCTACTTCCAGGAGTACGTGAGCTGGGCGCCGTGGGTCGCGTGGCAGTTCGACTTTGCGGCGTGCTTCGTGGACCTTGTCGCCCATCCGAGTCTACCGCCTTCGATCCGGGATCTTCTCCTGCCGTACGTTTACGCCTCGGTGGCCATTACCGAGCGGCAGGTCGACCAGCTGCGCCTCCATCAGGTGCACGCGAAGCATCGAGGCACCGGGCTCGAGGGATCCTGGCGGGCTCTACAGGCCCAGATCCGCCTCAGCGAGCCCGAAGGCGGCTTCACCACCGACACCATCGACGGGACGCTTGGTGCCATTCGCAAGGAGCTCCTCACCCAGGAGGTCAAGCTTGCGACCAAGGCGGCCGCGGCCAGCCGGGCGTCCAAGGCGGGGAGCGGCGATCCTCCTCCCCATTCGAGCGGCCCTGTTACGTATAGGATGTGGGTGTGGGGTTCCTGCCCTCTTTGAGCCGCGGACCCGCCTCGCCGGGCACCTAGGTCCTTACAGGGCACCTAGGCGGGACCACCCCTCCTACTCCCGTATCCTAATATGGATAAAGGTTACATTGGGTGAGGAATAATATGTGCCTTGGGCAGGGCGTCCCCCACACCAAGGGCCATTAGTAGGACGTCTCCCACATCAGGCTGGTGCGCGTAACATTCGTCCCCCTCAGGGAGAGGGGCGTCCTCGTCCCAATATAAGTGAATACGGGAGCAAAAACATTGTATGTATGTTGGTGGAACTGGCTGTGCGATTTGCCACATGCCCAGTTAACAAAACACAACACACAAGACAAGTTTGGATGAAGAGAAAGAGTGGTTGTTTTACATGACCGTCCCGGCCTTTACAACCCTCGTTAAAACTCTTCCTCAGCCAAGTGGCTGGAAATGTTTATGACCTCCCGGCCTTTCATCGGCGACCACGATGCCGAGTACCACCA